ATGTGCTTCAGTCACCCTTCAGTTTCGCTGAATGACAAAAGAAATTGTTGGACAAGATGTGAGATTCACAGTCTTTGGTAAAGGTATTATCAGATTGATTGTACGATGCCGATTTGCTCAGCGCAGACTTCATGAGGTGCGAAAAAGTATGTTGTGTGGTTTCTTCGTGAATAAACAATCAATGGTTAGTCTGCGCTGGTCCGGTGTGCTCCTTTCTTGTATGTCCTCGTGTGTGTGTGCATGAAGTTCCCATATGCTAGAAACGCCGACAGTGGTGTAGGGAAGCGTAGTTTCGCCGTGTTTATGACGAGTTGTGTGCCGGGTGATGCAACATTATTTTCCGAAAAAGCACAGATAAACTACCCCCCCCCCCCCCCCCCCAAAAAAAAAACGCGACATGCTACTATCAAAATTTCCAAGCGTTTCGGCGAAAAAACAAGCCCAAATCCATTTATAACAAGCGCAACTGGCAACTCTGCTCGACTCGCTCATGTTTCTCTTCGGTTCCCAGAAACGGCAGGAACAACAGCACTGGGTAAAAGCACCGGCGCTTTGTGAAAGGAAAAGAGAGGATGAAAGAGAGGTGGAGAAAAGGAAGAGAGGACAAGAACAAGTGCAGTCGCATGCGCCTCGGTGAGTTTGACGTCGCGGTTCGCGAGCAGCCGCCACGCGCTGACAATCCATCGAAAATACAACCAACTGTTAAAAAATACCGGAAACAAAACTCCGTTTATCATAACAGTGGCATCTCCCGAGCGAAATCTCGAAGTTTCATCAGTTTTTCAAATTTTGTTTAGTATTCCTCTAAAATGGGTAACGGAAATTGCGAGTAAACAAGAAATGGTAACTACACGGCCACTACAGGCTCTTACCGTTCACCTTCTTGAACATAGAATACATGTTTCAAGGTAGTCGTGATCCAGAAACCAGACAGTCTTGCTCTCTCATCTTCGTCGAACGGAACTACACAAGAGAAAACAGCGGCGTGAATGGGACATCTCCGGCTGTGCCAGGCAAACAAAACTACTCCAGGGGGGAAATGCGCAGGCGACTCTGCTAACAGCCACTGCGATTTTTCGCAAGGGACAGGTAGTCGATTGTGATCAGTGCGAGATAATAGATTGTGACCTAGTGCGAGATCAGACCGACAGAGGGGCAAGAATATTAGCGCTCGTCTCCTTCTTGTCCTTGTCTTCTTTCTGATCTCGCACTATTACAATCGTCATGCCAGGCCAACTAGCCCAAACCGCCACGCCTCTAAGGGCAAGTAGTACAATACACAGGGATGCACGAGTTAGTGATGAATTTGGGCTAGCTGACATCATCACCTCAAAGTACGCACTTGTCTAGATTACTCTTCTTTTCAGTCCTTGACTTTTGACGCACAGCATGCCGAAATGCATCCGAGATGCTACGGCACGTTGCATGCCGTGACAAAGCAGTTTAGTAAGCAAATATGGTGCTACAGGCAACAAAACACTGTTTGTTCATAGTTCATAGATAAAATCAACAAACAACACGCTATAAAATGCCTTATTCGACGAATTCCTCACCAGCAAAGCTGTTAGAAACGTCCAAAACACCCTTTTCTTTCCAGGAGCCGAGTAAGATGCCAACCACTCGATCTGGTGGCCAACTTTCCCCATGCGATTGAAGTGATCCACGACGCTGAGGAGAACCAGCGGATGCACAACCACCTTCGAGACTGCAAGGTCAGTGCCAGTCATAATTCCTTGTTTCGACTTATGGTTGATCCAATCACTGACAAAGCGCCAATTAACAGCGGACAGCAATGCACTTTCGACGCCACTACGTTCATTCGTTCAAGCAGGACACTGATATGCTTCGCCACAGAACACTTATACTCTCGCAAAAACGATTGGTTCAAAGCACGGTGCCGGAAGTATTCTTGCACCGGGGTGCTAAGCGAGATTACCAGCAACGTAATGAACAAACATTTCTTTATAAAGTCACTTTTATAAATAAAAACGTGTAATATTTATTAAACAAACACTATTCAACTATTAATGAGCGTTAATAATGTGCCACATGAAGCGTTTGGACAGAAAGTAAAAAAGTAAAAAAAAGCTGATAGTGTCCTAAAAGTAACAGCGTCGAAAGCGCCAGCTCCCGCGTGGGGCTTTTTGCGGTAAACTGCCGAGACGCGCCGCTGCTGGTAGGTGGGCATGTATGTGGGCACGCATGGAGGTGGGCACATAGGCACCATTATATTTTTGTTCTCTTCGGGCGGGGCCTCGCCTTGATGATTTATTTAGGTGTTCTGTGGTCTAGACACAGAACATCTACCAGCTACCTACCAGACTACATTCTACATTTTGTCTTTGTTGCGGCGCGGTGGCCTCCCTTTAATTTTGTTTTTTTTCGCTCTCTCTCTGGCTGTGCGCCAAGCGCCGTTATTTCGCGGCGTGCGTTGCGCAGGTGTTCTGTGGTTGCGCTGTTTCTCTTTGTGACCAGAGGTGCAATACGACGATGCACGAGCCTTTTGACCGACATGTGATCGAAAGTACCTCTAAAAGTTACAGCATCTCAAAGACTGCTACTCTCACGGCTACCTGAAGTCAGGCGATGAGCTTAAGCTTTTTGATAGGCCATTGGCTGCCGTCAACGAGAGCTATGCTGTGCGGACCTCAAAAGACTTGACCAAGTCGTCCAAATGTGTGAAGATATATGAATTGCTTCTTAATGTATCGCTATGTGCTTTGATTTAGCACTCAAAAACGCAGTAGTAATTTCAGCCCGGCAGAACAAGTTTAAGAATAGTGCTACATTACAGAAATTATTTGGCGTTTTGTAAGATCGGCTTATTATTGTTGTGGTTACCGGTTCAGAGTTTTCCTGGCACCTATTATTTCCGTTTGAGTGGAGCATTGTTGGGGTTTCCGGGCCATGACCCCAAGTGCGAAAATTGATAAAACATATTGGAACTTGCCTGTTGTTTTTCCGTGTCAGTCATGATGAGTTACGCGCACGCACGCTAATCAGCACTTAACTAACGCGTCTACTCCTGTGATGTTTACATAAATGTTTTGAATTCGAGGAAGAGACGCGCGTGGGCGTTTGTTTTGTATGCACATGTATGTACATTTTTTTTTCTAGCAATCGTGCGCAACACGAGACACAGTGTGCAGTTGGGCTCAACTCCATGGCAGGCCAAGGCCGTGTGGTGCCGTCCGTCGTCCTGGTAGAAGTGTGAATTAGCCGTGGAGGGCGCGGCATAAGTCTGATGTGAACTCTGTATATGAGATGCTGGTGTACGTGTCACCAGCAAGCTTTTTGTCGTATTTGTTCAAAGGCCCAGCCAAACGGTAGCAGGTCTGTGCTGTTTTCAAGATGTTTCGTTTTAAAATAACATAGAGACGTCTGCATGGTTTGTAAATATACTCATACTTATTTTCGTTAGGACAGCCATATTATTGTATGGTATTGTTTATTATTGTATTGTTTTTTTTTGCAGCCAATGTTGCCTTCTCTATGATCCACTCTAGGTGTAGAATTTCTGGACAATGCACCGTTTCGAGTACTCAAGGAAACCGTCAAAGTCTGCATATTTGGAACGGAATACTATAAGAAGACTCCAGAGAAAAGACAAAAAGGATCTGGTGTCTTATGGTTATGCGCTTGCAAACGTTGCAGTCTCGTGCAGATATCCAGCACCCTTACAATTCAAAGTTTGTGTGGGAGTATGTGACTTCTTTTTTGTACTTGCCAAAGCCGCATTGTGTTGTAGTTGACTTGTGTGTTTTAGAATGTATGTAAAAGGAGCAGAAATAAATGTTTTATTTAATTTACAGGACTCGAGTGCCACTGGCTGGCCGAAGGAGGCATACAAGATTCAAATGCCACTGTCTGGCCGAAGGATGAGCACAGAAAAAAAAAAAATTACAGCATATCCACGGGTGAATCATGAAGAGTGGGGCGAAGCTCTTAACATTAAAGATACCGCGGCCCACACCTCAAATGAAACTTGTGAGTAACGTGTCATTTAAACAATGTTTATTATTTTAAATGTCGATCATTATTCCCAGTTTGTGGTTTCCTTTCTAAATTATGACCGCTTTATGGTCAAAGAAATGTACTGAAAGTGACAGTCTCTCCCTTCTGTACGTGTGACGTCATTCCTGTTTTCATAAAACTCGCCTTTTATTTATCACACTACAAGTAACGCCCTCTAGTATCATACCATCTTGAATTTTTCACCGTATATGCATTCGTTAAATAGTATGTTGAACCGCCCTCTACGGCTGGTTCAAGAATTAACGAGGGTGGTTACATACCATAACGGGATGCACGAGCCACACCTTAAGGAGCTTCGCCCCTAAAAAGTGAATAAATCTACAAGGTATAACAAAGAAGGTTCACAAGACTTTCGCTTTTACTGTGGAATGGCTATGTAGTGTGGAGCATACTCACGGCTGATAACACCATACATTGTATGTTTTAATAACATGGCGGGCAAAAACTACGCAGCTCAGCATTGCTGTTCCATAATACTGAAAGTACATGTTATTGACCTTAATTTTAAAGTATTAGCTAATGGATCGTATGTTGAAACAATTGCCTTCTTTCTTGTGCATACCTGTCCCTTATGCAACCTCATTTTATATCCCAATACACCTAGCATGCCATGGAAAAAGAAAAGGCTTTCAGTCTGAAACAGCTCCCCCAAGTCTGAAGTATCAGTATGTATACCTAAAGCATTCTCTAAAAAAGGTTCTTCTCATAACTGTTTTCGAAAATGGCCAGTTTGCTCAGCCTCTAATATCAGCCGCAGCTGTTGAAATAGTCTTGACGAAATTGCTGAACTGTGGGGTAACCATATTTCACATATTAAAAGTAAGCTATTAGTGCACTCTACACATTCTCTCAAATGTGGTTTATAGTCAATGCATATTACAAGCTCACTACTAAATATGTATTGAAGAAACCAGCAGACAAAGATGTACCAGCATCTTTTCAAAAGCTGCTGTATTGAAATGCTAAAAAGAAAGTGGAAAAGCAAGCACTTTCATAAAGTACTGAGAGGATGGAACTTTCCATACAGTTTTATACGCATACATTGAAAACAGCCATAAAAACATGTTTTTATGCAATCTATGAATTGAAAATGCAACCAACACGATACATTAAGGTGCCGGTTCCAGTGTCGCTATCCTGCGAGTAGTTCTGCTGAAGACACCAGAGGGCGCCGCTTAGTCAAGACTACAGGGACGTTTCAGGGGTGAAACCAAGTGAAAACTGCTACACCTGTGCGGCGTGCCACACTGGATGAGGAAGGGGCGTGAATCATGGCGTAGCGGCACAGAAAAGCGATGCCTTCAGCAGCGGCTTTCTTTTCGCCCCTTCAACGACCCCTCTATCTGTCTCCTTATATGAAGACCATCGCTCACTGGTGCCTGTCTCCTGCGGTGCAGTAGTTTTCACGGGAGGAATCTCCGTTATATACAGTTATATACAGTGCTGGAATGCGAGGTGCGGGACACTCTCTCACGGATGTCACATCAAAAGTGAACCATGAGACATTACATTCTTCTGTGTGCATACGCAAGTAATCCCCTTTCTGTTGCTGTCGTTTTGTCCTACCTCATTTACTGATGGCCATTATTCAGTTGTCATCTGCTTGTGCTCCTAAACAGCGGCCCTCATAAAAATTCTTTTCCTGTTTTCCATTTTTATACTTTCTCGAGTAAAAAGCTACCTACTCCTAGCACTGAATATCTCGTTGCGCACCTGACACAAGCGATATATACTAAAACTTTTATTTCTCTCGAAAAAGAATCGAGAGCAATATTTCGTAAATAGAACGTTATAATTATGCAGTAGCTATGATGCAAATAATTATGGACCAATAATTATGGAAAAAGCTAGTCTTTCATTTGCACTTTATAAATGATTACCAAATGCTTAGAAAAGTTCTCTTCTCGTGGTGGTGTCGGCTCCAAGCAGCCGGGTAGGAAGCAGCTAATGTTGCAAAGATTGCAATCAGGCCGCATTTGTGTTAGAAGCCCAGCTGGCCACTTATTACATTGCGCGGCCCCATGGTCTGGTTCACCACGACCAGAAATCCATGCCCATTGGGGACACAAGCTGGCATGTTCGATTTCGTCCCTGTCATAAGCGCCTTTTTTTTTCTCTAACACATGGAAGAAAGTGATGGTCAAAACGTGAATATTTATAAACCATTTTACAGGTATACGTAAGCTTTCCACATTGGTTTCATTATGTTATGTGTTCGTTCTGAGTCATTTGTAACACATTTGGTGTGGGGGCTACTTTATTTTTCATACGTAACACCGGAAATGTAAAATAAATCGCATAACAAAAAGTGCTATGTCCTCCTAACCGTCTCTCCCTACCCCACTCCAGTTAGTAACAAAGTCAGTAACAACGTTGAAGTTCACAACAGAGCAAGAAATACGTCCGTATCAAATGTAATATTTCTGACCTGTGCCGTTCTTATCGCGCAGCTGTAGCTCAAGATATCGGTGAAACTATAAAGATGAAAAAAAAAAAAAAAAGTGGACAGGTAGGAAGTGCCCTGTGCAAAATTTGCATTGAATTTTAGCGTCCTCCTTCTCACCCCTCATTATACCACACTGTCTTGTTTTAGAAGAGAGATTATATTTGTATGCGTGTACTTTATTCACCGTGTAACCTAAGCTTCCGTATGTCCGAAAGACGGTTAGTTTGGCAAATTACGTTCTACTAAATGCGGCCGCTGTGACCTATGGTGCCCAACACGTGCCAACAGCATAAGCACCACAGTTTTCCCTGCTATATGTACCATCATTTTTTCATCAGAATTGAAATTTCAGCAGGTTAGTATATGAATTTATGTTTCGGTTCATTCTTGCACGACATATGAACGAAGCTCAGGGGTGTAACCAGGGCGGAGGGTGAGGTGGTGCAACCGCCCCCTGAATTTTTTTAGTTTTGCATATGTATATAAACACCCATATATATGAAGGCACGTAAAACACGCAAAAGGTATATTTCTTGCTACGCTTCTGACGAGGCTAACATATGTGTTGCCAATGGCCGTGGAAGTTATTCCCCTTGTCAGAGAAACTTCTCTATTCGCCGCTATCTCAACAGCATTTTTTAAAATAAAGGCCATGACCATAACATGAAGAGTGATTGTTTCATCGAAATTGTCAGTAATTGATAGCAAGCTTGTACTTTCTAGGCAGTTATCTCAAGCTGTACAAAACGTGCGCGATAACAGTAGGGTCGAATTCACGTCAACCTTCCGGGACTGGGATGAGGGGGAGACATATCTGTACTCTGCAGAGTACAGAGTACTTAACTCTGTCTCTGCATCTCTCATGCATATTTAAACGCACACTGTCGGTATTACACCTAGGTCGTATTTCCTTCAAGTTCTTGAAGCGCATGCCAAGGTCGAAACATGGCCAATGCCAAGATCTTGCCATTCCCCTCTAAGTCTACTATACAAAATAGTTCGAATTATTTAAAGAAAATTACTTGTCTTACTAGCTAAAGCTTTTGAACGCATGACTGGTCAATTGAAATAACTCTGTAAACTAACATATTTTCTAGCAATAAGTTTAGTGAATGCAGTATATATGCTGCGCAAAGAAGGGCTGTCACGCAGTAAGCAAGAAAGGGTCATTATACGTTATCACGATTTATTTTGCACAAAAGGAACATCAGCAGCACTTGGTTACAGCCACGAAAGTATCGAAACATCACACATAAAAAAACAACCTGAGAGGTAGAAAGCATACATCCAGAGAAACACGAAATCATTCAAACGCCTTGCAAAGTACATATTTATCTATCTGTCTTTCTGTCTATCTATCTATCTTCAAATACTTCAGCCCAATGCAGGGCTGTGCATTTCATCTAGGCAAACTGCGGAGCCTCCATACTTTTTAAGCATGCTTCTCATGAATTCAGTCTGGAAGCAGAACAGTGACTTGTCTTCACACTCGTTGGCAATGCTCTTTTCCACTTTGTTCGAGTCGCTGCTACCCACGAAGCTGCACAATGCCTATGGCCGATAGACAATGGAGGATTCGGATTGCTCAGCACTGATCTTTTCACTAAGTATGCTAGAATTTTTTAAATCCACTGTGCTAAAGTGTTCTTCCCTAAGAACAGCTTGGATCTGGTTGCTTATATCATGATGTGCTGGGAAATAGCCCTGGAGCTGCCATCGAGCTTTTCCTTGTTTGCAAAAATACATCATGCTGTACAGGCACTTCTTCACTTTTTTATTGGTGCCAGTATGCCCTACGGCATCAGTTAAATAAAACGAAAAAGTTCTGTTTCTTGTATGAAAGCAGGAGTGATCGATGCAGTGGACTGTGTGTTCAGCGCGTCAAGTCAGGTGGTCAGCCGGGGTGGTGGGGGTGAACGCCACCTAGGTGGCGAGTGCGAGCCTAGTGAAGGCCCAGACGGGTTCTCAATAGGTGATAGAGCGTCGCCTCTGTGGCTGGGGCCATGCAGAATGGACATGTCGTTGGGGGAGGCTGTGCACTGAGTGTCCATGTAGTCCGGATTGCAGGAGTCAAGGCGGCGCCCACACAAATCCTCCTGAGTGCAACCTCCTCTCAGCGAGTTAAGCCACCGGGAGGGTCTGATCTACGTGGAGGAATGAGTGCACACATGGAGCGCCTCAGAGTTTCTTTGGCACAAGCAGGCTGTCCCTTGGGAACAAGCGAAGTAGAGGCAGTGGGTGTGAACAGCCGCTGGCTGGCGAGTGGCATCTGCTTCTAATAGAGCCGGTGCAGACTGGCAGGTTCACAATACGCAGACAGGACAAGTGCATTAGTGAATCAGTCGGTGTACATCAGCGGCTATATTGAAGGAGCTGGTCACTTTTTGCAACTCTCGAACTGCCTGCAGGAGTCCGTATATACAAGCATTCATCGTGTGACAAAGAATCTATTTTGGATATCATTACTGTTAACCCTTCCTGTATTGCAGTGAGCTCGGCTAATGCTGATCGGAACAATGCCTCTGTTACGCAGGAACATGGATGTTGAGTTTCAGGTAACGCGGGGCATAAGAGACTGGTGTGCTGAATGCAGTTATCGATAGTTGTGTCTACGTACGTATACCGCTAGTGAGTATCTATGGTAGTGACAACGCCCTCCTGCGCCACTTGTTGCAGACGGGTCAGTGGTCCGTTATCGCTGGCCTGTGCCTTGAGCCATGGTGGAACTTCTGCCAATGTGTGTCAGGCTGTGGCAGCGTTGAATTATAGTATTGAGCTAGATCCGCCGCCGTAGGAACAGCTTGACTCTTTAAATAGTGAACGACTCGACGCTAGTGTACAATTTCGTCAATGGTGTTGAGCTGCGCTTCCGCCTGGGAGGTCGCTATAGGTGTTATATGAGGAAGGTATGTAATTGCTCTCGTGGAATCTCGGTTGGCGGTTTCAAGCAAGTCCCAATCTCTCAATGTCAGTCGTTGAAACTGAGCTTGATAAACAAGCCAAGGTTGTAGGATTGATCGCACCAACACTCGGACCATTCGAGAACAGGCATCTCCGGTCTTTTGAGAGATGCGACGAATGAGATGGAGGGTATTAGCACTATTCCGCAAGCAGAGCGAACCCACGCAATCGCCCCGCTGCGGTGGTCTAGTGGCTAAAGTACTCGGCTGCTGACCCGCAGGTCGCGGGATCGAATTCTGGCTGCGTTTCCGATGGAGGCGAAATGTTGTAGGCCCGGTGTGCTCAGATTTGGGTGTACG